TTGATGACTGCACATAACCTGCAAAAAATGTTGTTGTTGTAGCGTCTACGTTAACCCCGCTTAGGGACAGGTTTAAAATCAATCACCGAGTTACCGAATCCATCTAACGTGAGGTCCAGAAAATGTGCTTTTTCGACGGGTTGGGACCGGGGGGGACAGGGGGTTAGAAGAGTCGGCTTAAGGGGGCATGTGATAAGTGTCATGTGGGGTCGCGTCTGAAAAGGTAGGAGTTTAACCTGCTACAATATCCAGAACTAAATTGTGCAGCTTGAGCTCATTGTCTGCGATGGGTTGTGGTTTATCTCCGAGTACGCCATTCATAGGAAGGGCGACTTTCAAGATATTGCCTGAGTCCTGTTGTTGTTGTTGTTATTGTAACCGCAAAATTATTCCCCAAAGTACTTTTTCGGGAATATTGCGGGAGTGACAGTCCTTGGCCGGATAAAAATCCGGGTCGTTCCGGTATAAAGACCCGACTGTCGCGGGAACTATTGGATTTCAGTCGCCTCTTACGACAGGCATGCCTTACCACGGGTAAATTCTTGAGCCCCTAACCCGCAGGGGTTAATGGCGCTCAGTGCTTGTCTGTACGCTGTCCTGTACAGCGCTCACCAAAAAGTTTCCTTCAATAAATCGATTGCTTCGCTGGCTGTATGGCATGTCGCGCCGTCTTGTTGGAGCCAAATCTCGTTCACATCAACATTCTTCTATACGGGCACGAAAAAGTCGTCATTGATCATGGCTCTATAGCATTCCTCATTGACTGTATGGTATTGAATGTATGGCCGACTTCAGTTTTGAAGAAATGTGAAGCAAGACCACAGGGAACTTTTTGAGTATGTAAGGTCCACTCAACAAAGGTTTGTGGCTTATAAACACTTCAAATGTATCAATTTTTGCAAAAAGTGTGCTTCATCGCTGTACAACATCCTCATGATAAGATCCGTTCACAAAATCTTCCTTCAAAGTAGGTGGGCATAACTCCGAAGTGAGCTTGTTCATTCTCAAATGGAATGTGAGTATAAATCAAGGCAAAAGCTCTTGCTCCGAAAATAGTATTGCTTCATTGAAAGCTACACATCTAAAAAAAAAAAACACCCTTTATAATAACTCTAAAAAGTTTTATGAACAAAATACATATTTTTGGAGCCGGAGAAATAGTGTTTGTCCTTCTTCTCGTATCTTAGTGTTACAGGGTCGGCATTGTACGCATTTTGAGTGGCTGTAAAATCCAAAAATATTTCCAAAGAATTACAAAAACTCGATTTTCGTGCATAACACTTCTAATACTTGCTAACAATTGACATGTTGAACTGTCTCTGCTGGTAATTATAGTCCCCAATCGAGGTCCGCCGCATACATAGCACATCACATACATGCTACAGTAGCTTTGTTTATCTTAAATTTATTAAAAGCGAACGAAAATAGTGATTTCATACATATACACATATATATATATTTATTACACAAAATTTGTTTAAGCCTTCATACTTGCCTGCATTTAAACACTATTTCCAACAAACAATGCCATGAGAAGTTAAACAAAAAGATCACACAACAAGCATACACCTGTATGTAAATATGTATGTATGTATGTATGTATGCATATAAACTAGTCTTTGAAATCAATATATTGCACAAAACTATATTTACCGTATCAATTAAATGCTTGTCAGCAACTCTCAATGACGAATTATGGACAGACGAATTTTGGTCGCTGCTTTTTTCTTGCTTTCAATGTACACGTATGTACGCGTATAACCCACTTTATGCGCCGAAAGCATTGCATGCGCAGCACAAGAGATTCTACACACACACATATGTGCATACATACATATTAGGCAAGAAACAACTTCCACTGAAACTTCTCGATCGATTTCAATGTGATTTGGTTAACGAAACTTCAAAACTTACCAAATCAAAATATAATGTATGTATGTATGTATATACAAGCAATTGTACATACGTGTATGTATATATGAACATGCAAGCCTGAAGTGCCAAAAAGAATGAAAAAGAAGTGGTAAAAATCAAAAGCAAAAATTTAAATGATTTATAATTCTTTTTTTTTATTTTATTTATGTATGCATATACATATATTTTTAATATTTTTTTGTTTATTTTTTTTTGTTTATTTTTTTTTTGTTTATTTTTTTTTTTGTTTATTTTTTTTTTGTTTATTCTTTATATTTTTATTTTTTTTTCTCCTTTTAATTATTTATTTTTTTTTTAGATTTTTTTCATTCAAAAAAAAAACAAATATGTATGTGTAAAAAAATGTTTAGTGTAAAAAAAAATTTAAATAAACAGTAAACCGCAGAATTCCACGATTGATGACGACACAAATGGTTTATCGACTGCATGACTTGCCTCGCGCTTGACGTGCTAATTTGGACTTTGTGTTGTGTGTAAGCATTTTTGTCTAAAGTAATCAAGCATAGCAGAACGCCAGTTACATACTACTCGGCCATATATGTACATATGTATATGCGCCCTCAAGATCTAAAACAACAAATGACTTTAGGATTTTTATTTTTTATCTTACCTTTTTTTTTCTAAGTCTAAGCGTTAGCGTCGGCGTCAAGTGTGAATATGTATGCATACAGGTATGTAAATCGCACAGTTATTGACATTTTTGGTCTAATGTCTCATCTTCATACATACATACATATGTGCTCGTATGCTGAAAGGGGTTTACCCCAATGAATCAGTTGATTTGTCTGCGAAGTATGAAAAAATTAACAAAAAATTTTGTATTTTTCTTTATATGCAGCCATAAATTATTGAAAGCTAAACTAAAGTCTTGGTCTTCAAAGAAAAAAATTCAATTTTTACCTCTTAACAAACTACTTACCTTACGCTAGTGGGAAGATTTCGCTTCCGTTTTGTGTATTTTTATTGCATCATTCTTTATAAATTATAAAAAATTGTCTCTAAATTGCCTCTTTACTCATAAATTTTGTGAAAGTTATAATTGAAAACAATACCCAGTTTATTTTCAATTTCTTGCTAAAAATTCGCCAAAATTTTCAAATATTTTTGTTCTTAAGTTTTTAATGATTTTTTACACTACGAATTTTACTTGGCATTTTGTGTTTATTTTTGAGAGTTTTTGCTGTTTAAAATAATTATTATTATTTTTGCCAGGGAATTTCATTCTACGAATTTCCATAATACTAGTATAATTCAAGGGTATATATAGTATAGTTCAACGGGTTTGAACTTCGCCGCGCTCTAATGTAACACCTCGAGAACCTCCAAAATGGTTGGACTAGATTGAACTGGTTGACTCCCAGGAAAGATCCATACAAACGTTACGTATTGTGTCTCTAGTTGCTTTTCTCATACCAAGTTGAACTTTCCGTGTCCATTGCTGTTGAAATAGTCATCTTGCTGTATGATCAACCACTGTCCACCGTACACCATGCTCGACTGTGTCAATATATTCTCTGAATTTCTTGGGTTTTTTGCTCTTCATAAGTTCTAATATTTTACAATTTGAACGTAAAACAGAAAGTTGTTGCTTTAGTGCGAAATATTTTTTTGCAGCAGTATCTCAAACTTTACCTTTTAGGACTTCCTGAAATTAGTTTGACTTATTATTCCCTTTTTTTGTTGCTTCTCTACCATGTTATGCTCTATTAATAACATTAGTTTTTCATTTATAAAAAAAATATGAAATAAAAATGTTTTCTATAAATTCCACATTTTTCATCATAAAAGAATTTTACACATCAAAATGACAAGTATCAGAACCAATTTTGCCTATCATTCACTGAGCAAAATTATTCAACTTCAACATTATAGTATCCGCTAAATGTATGTAGCTTATGAATGAGTTAACATTTCTCCTATTTTTTCGTTGTATGCTCGGAAAAAAGTATCCTTGATAAGCGAATTAATAGTAAAAAAATTTTTGCAAAATCACTTCCTCGCTATGACTTCCTTAGCGGCTAGAATTTTGTACCAAATACATTTGTTAAACAAGTAAATCTTTGAAATAATTATGGAATATTTTTTAATTATAATTACAATTAAATAGCAAAACTTTTGCTGTTTTTCACTATATGCATTGACTTCGTGCATTGGCCAATGACATGGCAAGCCGATAACTACAGCAACCAACCGTGGTTAGCGCTGTTGTTGCTGCTGTCGTTATTTAAGAGATTACAACAGTTATTTTTTATTAACAGCCATTTTTGTTATGAAGGCGAATCTTTAAATGTTATATTGCAAATGCATATATTTATTTTCAATACAATTTTTAATAATTTGTCATATAATTAATAAGTTATTAATTCACAGTAACGATTAATATATTATTTAAATGTTTATGTAAACAAACCAATTCCCGCTGCTAACTTAACAGCAATACCAACTGGCTTGCCTTATGCAATGTTAATTATCGTTCAGTCCGCTAACACGAACGCTGTTAAGGCTGTGCTGTTCTGTTCTGTTCTTTGCCAGGCGCTGTTACAACTTCCCTTTCTATTCGCTGCTTATTAACGATTGTACACAATTGTAATTCATTGAGACACGATAGTATCAACGAAATTTTTATCACTAAACAACGCTTCGATGCGCCGTCAAAACCGCTCAATTGTACACAATTCCAATGGTCAAGCGATCGACTGTATTGATTTGAAACTGAGAACAGCGCGGGGCTTAAACTCAAAAACAAACTTGGATTTACCTGATTACCGGTCTAAGTGACGACAGCCGTGCTGCTGCCGCTGTTGTTGTTGATGATGACTCGGCTTAAATGAAAACAACAAAGCTGCTGCTGCTGCTGTGGCTGTCGCTGTGATTGTTGCTGCGGCTGCGGCTGCGGCTGCGACTGCGGCGATGCTGGTGACTTACAGCGAGTATGTGGTGGGAAAAAAATTGCAAACCTGAGCGCAAGCAGCAACAGTAGCGCTGCACAGTTCAGCGTCAACTTTCAAGCGGACAAACAGCGGACTTCTAGCCAAATCGACATTTACCTGCGATGTCAAGCACAACACAGACTTCATTCAAAAGTGAGCAGCACAAGCGAGTAGACGAACTTTTCTAAAGAGCTCTACGCAAACAGTAAAAGAACATAACGTAAACGTTGAGTTTAAATAGCGACGTCTTCAAGAAACAAAAAATAGAAAGAAATCAAGAAAATCAAATAAAAAATAAAATAAAAAGTCGTAAAGAATATGTTAGAAACGCAGCAAGGATAACATGAATATATGTATTTCTATAAAGAAAATCGAAAACAAAATTTATATGAATTATAAGAAGTTTGCAAGCATTATTAGAAAGTAAAAATAAAATTGATTTGGAAAGTGTATAAACAAACAATTGATAAGTGCGCTTGAACTTTACAACAGCAAGCTAAAGCGTTTAGTATTTTTTTTACAAGAAAATATTTATTTAATATAAAAAAACTTAGCACAAAAAAAGATTTGTTTGTAAGCATTGCTTGTACAAGAGAAATTTACGCAATTAACACTTCAGTGCCTTTGAGAGAAGAAATTAAAAATTTAGAAGGAAAAATGAAAGATTTTGGCAATATATTCTCTCGCCGTTATAGCGCGGTTAATGCACAAGATGCAGAACAGCAACAACAACAATTAACAGCGAATATGCAAACGTCCATGACAGCCTTGGCGACGACGACAGGACCTTACGCAACAGTGTGTACGAGTAGCTCGTCGTCGCGCAACGCTGAAAAGCAACAGAATAAAAGTTTGAAAGCCAATCGTAAAATGAATCCTGCCGGTGTTCTTAGCTCGTTCTTTAACGAACGGAAAAGCAATAAGAGAGCGCGATCGCCAAAATGTAAGTTAAATGGAATTAATTGATTGAGTTTTTTATTTTTATTTTGTTTAAAAGGAAAATAATTTATTGTATGTGACAGCGGAAGTGAAAAGCTTTGCGTTGAAGTGAAATATAAATTTAATGTAAACTATTTACCAGCGGTTAGCTAACCTAAAAAAAAAGAAAATATTTTATTATACAGAATCAGTGGAAAATTCATTTTTTTAAGGCTAAAAACAAAACTTTATAAAAAAAAAAGACTAAATTTTTAATTTTTAAAAATAGAATAAATTTGTTCTTTGGTAACTAATTGCGCTCTTGTTAAACAAAGTTACATTAAAATAAAAAATAATAATTGTTTACAATAGGTTAAAAGGCTGTGAATATTTTCCTAAGCATGAAATAAATTAGCAAAAAAATTTTTTTTAGACAAGATTAATTATATTTATTTTTTTAATTTAGAAAACATGTTTTGAAGTTGAAAAATTGTGTATTTCATTTTTTTCTTAGAAACAAATAAGTTTTGTTTTGAGTTTTTACTGGAATAAATAATTAAATAATATTGCTTTTTAAGCTTTTTATACTTTAGTATTATTTAATTTTTTTTTTTTTGTTAAAACGAAACTTTGTTTGCTTCAAGTTTAAATGAAATTAAGACGCAATGCAAAATACTAGAAATAAATATTTTATTATTTATTTCCACAAAAGATAACCAACCGCCAAGCGCTCGCCTTCAAATAAGAAAAGCCGCCAGCAGGCATTGAGAGCTTAAAAATTTATCTACAAAGCGACATTGCGAAAGTCAAGAACATTTTGAATTCATTCTTGCTTTAGATTTTTCTTTCTATTTTGTTATTTATCTTTTTGTAACAACGCACTCTGTTGACAATGCTGCAGATTAAAGTTGTAAAAAAGAAAAGAGAAAAAGAACAATTTTGCGCTGCAACCACTTTGTCAGCATTTCTGTGCACCCTACATATATACATATGTCTATATATTATATATAATGTGCAAAAGTGCTAGCTGTGCTGAAATGTAAAACTGTAAATTACATATATTTGGTTTTACTATTAATTTTTAATAGTTTTTCACATTTAAATGCACGCACGTACTTGACAATCAAATTAAACAAAAAAGAAAAAACAGTGTTGCCACAAAGAAACAAAAAAGAAAAAAAAACACACAGATGACTGCCCAACTGACCGCGCAGCAATCGCAATGGTGATTTCATTTTTGTGCAAATATGTGCAAATTTGTTGGTCGAATTCAATAAAAAAAAAATAATCAGTGATCGGCGGCAGCAGCAATTAAATATTTATATAAACACATACAAATGGTTGTACATATATGCAAATATTTATGTTGTGCTTTTTACATTAAGTATTTATGTAGGACTGGCATGCAAAAATTATTTGGCGATTTATTTTAATTTTCTAATTTTTATTCATGCCAATTTGCAAAGACACGGTTATTTCGTTATATAAATATTTGCATACATACATATGTATATATATTTTATATGAATACTCAAATGTATTTATAATTTTCGCGCATATATATACTAATATGAATGTTTGTTCGTAAAAATAAAAAAGTGCAGCAAGTAGCCCAAAAAAACTAAAAAAAAGGAAACTCCTAAAATTTTTTTTTTAAACGAATTTTTTTTTTTTTGTTATGTAATGAACAATATTTTTTGACTTTGTGTTTATATCATCTGCTTCTTTTTTAGTTTATTTTGTTATATTTTTTATTTCGTTTTGTTTTAATTTTATTTTATTTATTATTCTTTATTCATCTGCTTCTTTTTTAGTTTATTTTGATATATTTTTTATTTTTTTTTTTTTAATTTATTTTGTTTTAATTTATTTTACTTTATCGAATTTTTTTATGATTTATTATAATTTACTTTGATTTTATTCTGCTCAATTTTATTTTTTAAAATTTGAATATATTCCATTTTCTTTTGCATTATTTTTTTTTATTTTAATTTATTTTATTTATTTCACTTTATTTCATTTTAGTTCGTTTTATTTCAGTTATTTCATTTCATTTTGTTCATCATTTTTTTATTTTAAATTTTTTTTCTTTTCTTTTTTTATTTAACTTTATTTTTTTTTATTCAATTTTATTTAATTTTTATTTTATTCAATTTTATTTTACTCTTATTTTATTCAATTTTATTTTATTTTTTGTTTAATTCAATGTTTTTGCATTTATTTTTTTTTATTTGATTTTACTATTATTTTCATTGATTTTGTTAAATTTCATTTTATTATAATTTAGTTTATTTTCTTTTACTTAATTTTGTTTTGTTTAATTTTTTATTTAATTCAACTTAATATTAATTTATTCCGTTTTAATTTTAGTTTGTTTTATTTTACTTTATTTAATTGAGTTTTAATTTGTTTTACTTTAATTTTTGTTTTTAATATTTTTTTTTATAGTTATTTTATTTCAATTTATTGAATTTTAATTTATTTTATTTTGTGTCATTCTATTTTTGTTTTATTTTAAATTAATTTATTTTACTCTGATTATTTTACTTTATTTTCTCTCATACTCTCGAAATTTAACTGTTTTTTGCATGTTAATTTTTTCTTTTTGGCAACTTGCTTTATTGCTTTCCACCTGTCTTCCAACTTATTCGTGGTCAAGTTCAGGGATGCATAAATAGCTGTTGTCCGAGTCAGTTAGTGTTTTTGTTTTTGATATCGATATAAAAAGACAAAATCGAATATTGCACTAGCTTACAGTGGTGGGCCAATGAGCAGAAGCAGCCGACACTAATTCGTTGGCCACCAGTGCGTGTGTATGCTCGTAGGTAAATAGTTTAGTGAGGAAACAGGTCGTTGAAGCTCGTTTACACATTTATAAAATTCGCATGTATTTTTGCAGTTAAATATATTGTACATACATGTATGTATAGGCCTACTAGACGACTGCACTGTATTCACACTTGCAGTTGGGCGAACAAAAAAATATCGCTACTCGTTCCGGCCGATTTCGGCTAGTGCAATGAACTTGAACTAAAGTTTTATAGTGAATCGAATTGATTTATGTTATTTATTAATTTAATTACATAAGTACGCGCTGATTTGCTATTAACACCAGCACACCAGGTGGTAGGTAGATAACGCTGACCAGCGATTGGGTCAATGTCAATGGCACTTACTTCAACTCTTTGCTTTTATTTATAACACGCGTGATTTCTGTTTAATGAATAAACAAGAAATTAAACGAAATTAGCGTGAATGACAAGCTGCAAATAATACCACAACTAATTATACTTTTTTGTCAAGTAGTGATGGAAAAATTATGATTTATGGCACATACCAATAAAAAAAAAGAGTAGTGCAATGCAATGAAAAAAATATATATTATATATATAGATATGTATTAGGTACAACTATTAATCTTCTAAATTTTTTTCTCTTTTTATTTATATTATTTTATTTCATCCTCTTTAACATTATATTTTTAGCCACGCTTTAAATATTCATAAATATTGTTTTATTATCATTTATAAAAGCAAAATTTAACCATGAAACGTGCGAATATTCTCGAACAATATTTTTTTTATATTTCTCGCGCACTTATTGAAAATTTAAAAAAAAAAAAATTTTTTTCAATACGACACAACGGACTTCCTAACCTTAACATTTTTTCAGTCTTACTTTAAATTTTTGCTAGTCTCAAATAAACCAACGCTATTAGCATATTTGCACTGCCGTTTAATAATTGAGCGGCAAAATTTTTTTTTTCATGTTTATTCAACAGATGTACACTTAATTCAGAGTGTTGTTGGTTTTTGCTTTATTTTGTTTAGTCACTATTTATCAGTTTATTATCATTGTGTCCGGTTTGCACCTTTGTTATATATTATATTTGCATATGTATATAAAAAAAAAGAAAAATATCTGCTAAAAATTTTGCAAATTCATTTATAATCCCGTTTTGCAAGCCAGACGCCACCTTTATCTTGTTGGCAACTTTTACTATTTCTCATTTTTATATAAAAAATTAGCAAATATTTCTAATCAATTCCTTCTTAAATCAATTATTTATTTTTCATACACTTTCACACTCCCATTTTATCTGCACTTTTTTAACACCCTTTTTGTGGCACTTAAGGTCAGCCACTTTTTAGACGCCGAGAGTTTTTTGCACTGTTTGATCATAAGAAATAACTCGTTCTATCAATATACCCATCATCAGAAATTCCGCATAAATTTATTATTGTTGGTTGAAAATTTTTTTATTGCTACATCTTCAGTCTGCCACTTCGGATTTCAGCGCATTTAAGGCAAATTTTTCTAGTGCTAAAATTATTCATTTTGCTGTGCTTTGTTTTAAACTAAAAACAGGATTTACTGTAGATTCCTGTATGTCAGGCGAAACACACACTATTTTAGTATTTTTTATGAATTTTTTTCCTTTTAATTCTTCAATTCTGTACGTAAATGTGGAATTTGATTTTTTGCGGCCTATTGCCGGTTTACAATAATCGATAATCGATATGCGGAATAGTCAATGAACTGTGCACGTGTCAGTGTTGCTTTTGCAAATATAAACTGCCGGCAACTATTAAGAGAAAATTATTGTAAACACGGAGAATACAAGAAACGGCTCGTTTTTTTTAAGATAAAAATTAATAAATAAATACATTTTGACGTGACGACAATTTGTTTCCGGGTATGAAATTTACAAAAGGAATTTAATGAAGTTTTAAATATGAAAATTTTTTCTTAAAAGCAATAAACAATTGGGCATAATTCTAAGGTAGCCCAAAAATCCAAAGATTTTCAAAATAAAGTCCATTTTTCATTAAATTTCGGTGCATGAATGATATATTTTTCATCATATTTCACAAAAAAAAATCAATTCTTTTTTAATCTAAACCCAATAGCTGGCGCACATTAATTTTATTTAATGGCTTAAATCACAATTTTAACGCTGATTTTATAATGATTTTGAATATTTGAAAATATTAATTAGCTTTTAACTCCTTTAAATTGCATTTT